GTCCCTTACCTACAAGAACATGGTATCATTTTTAGACATCCATGCCCTCACACTCACCAACAAAATTGTAGAGTTGAGAGGAAACATAGACAAATTGTGGAACAAGGCCTGACTTTGTTAGCTCAAGCTAGTATGCCACTTAAGTTTTGGTGGTTTGCTTTTCAAACTGCAGCTTACCTTACCAATAGACTACCCACATCAGTGTTGTCCAATATATCTCCTTTCCAAGTTCTATTCAAAACTTCTCCAAATTATTCCCTCATTAAAGTCTTTGGATGTGTTGTCTATCCTTTCCTTCGTCCATATAACAGTCACAAGTTTAACTTTCACACCACCAAATGTACTTTTATTGGCTATAGTTTGCATCATAATGGATACAAGTGTTTGGATATTTCTGGTCGGATTTATATTTGTCAAAGTGCTCATTTTGATGAATATGATTTTCCTTTTAAAACATCTAATTTTTCTAGTTCAAATTCTGCACCCCATTCCATAAACACTGAGTCTGTTTCCAGTTTATTTGTTCCTTCAATTTGGTCTATATCTAATTCTATCTCCAGTTTTTCTATTAATCCTGTTTCAGCTTCACCTTTGTCTACTTGTCCTTCCACACCAGAACAGTCAATCTCACAGGATATTGCCCCTTCTAGTTCACTTCCTTTATCATCTCCCTGTTCTTCTCAATCTCATCTACCTCAGCCTTTACCATCTTCACAGTTCAGTCTAACCACTTACCTTAGTCTTTCCTCTACTTCTCTTAACTCTACTTCATCCACATCACCTATTTTATCCCCCATAACTGTAGGATCAGATGAGTCTTATGCAACTATCCCTCTTACTATTGAACTGTCTTTAACCAAGCCTCCACCTCCTGTCTTGAACACTCATTCCATGGTTACTAGGTCCAAAACCAGAGCACATAATACCATCCTTGTTTCCCCACCTTCTCTTGACAATAAAGAACCAACTACTGTTATAGAAGCTCTATCACATCCTACCTGGAAAGCTGCCATGCAATCTGAATTTGATGCCTTGCTAGCTAACCAAACTTGGGAATCAGTTCCTACTACATCTGAAATGCATCCTGTAGGCTGTAAATGGGTTTTTCAGATAAAGTATAATCTTGATGGTTCCATTCAAAGATTCAAGGCCAGGCTTGTGGCAAAAGGTTTTCAACAAAATCCAGGAATTGATTATCTAGAAACATTCAGTCCCGTAGTTAACTCACCCACAATCAGAGTTATTTTGAGCTTAGCAGTAAATAATGGCTGGGAAATTCAGCAAGTAGACATCAACAATGCCTTCCTAAATGGTGAACTTACTGAAAAGGTATATATGACCCAACCTGAAGGCTTTGTTAGTTCTCAACATCCTCATCATGTGTGCAGATTAGTTAAGGCTCTTTATGGTCTAAAACAGGCTCCTAGAGCCTGGTTTGAGAAGCTAAAAAAGGCCTCTTTAAGCTGGGATTTTGTTCACTCAGTTGTTGATCCAAGTCTTTTTGTGTATAAAAAATTGGAAAAGACTATGTATGTGCTAGTGTATGTAGATGATATTCTACTTACTGGAAATGACACCAATTTGCTGCATGAAACCATACATAAACTGAATACTCAGTTTGCTTTAAAGGTTCTAGGCTCTCTCAAGTATTTTCTCGGTTTTGAGGTTACTAGAACAACTTCCTATCTTCACATGAATCAAGAAAAATATATCAAGGATCTCTTAACAAAGACTAATATGCAAGATTGCAAACCATGTACCGCTCCAATGGCTATTGGTACCAAGTTAACTTTAGAAGATAGTGATCCTTATGAAAATGCAGCTCTATATAGAAGTACAATAGGAGCCCTTCAGTACTTGACATTATCCAGGCCTGATATTGCTTACTGTGTTAACAAATTAAGCCAATTCCTTAAGGCTCCTACACAGAATCATTGGCAAGCTTGTAAGAGATTACTTAGGTATCTTAAAGGCACTTCTAACTATGGAATTCTCTTTACTAAAAGCCTTAGAATCAACCTAGAATGCTATACCGATGCTGATTGGGCCAGTAGCATTGAGGACAGGAGGTCCACAAGTGGTTGTTGTGTCTTTCTTGGCACTAACCTACTGCAATGGACTTTTAAGAAGCAGAAAGTTGTGGCCCTATCTTCCACTGAAGCTAAGTATAGAGCACTTGCTCAAGGGTCTACTGAATTGGCCTAGTTTTATAGCTTATTTTTTGAACTTGGTCTTTCTTTGTCAGAAATTCCAATTATTTGGTGTGATAACCAAAGTGCTCGGTCTCTTGCTTCTAACCCAGTGTCTCATGGTAGAACTAAACACATTGAACTTGATGCACACTATGTTAGAGAACAGGTTACTTCTCACAATCTCAAAGTTCAATATGTGCCCACTAAATATCAAAAAGCAAATATCTTTACAAAGGCTCTGCATGCCTCAAGGTTTGAAAATCTAAGACAAAAACTGACAATACAAGCTCCACCTTCCTCTAGCTCGATTGGCTCAACATCTGGTACTCAGTTGTAATTCTGTAGTGAAAGCTGTGTAGTTGTCGGTTACAGAGAAACTGGTTGTGAATTTTGCTTTTGCAGTAGAATTTATTATGAAGTTGTAGTTTTTGCAGTGGAGTTATTGTGTTGGTAGTTATTGAGTAGAAAAACTGTGAAGTTGAAGTTGAAGTGTGGAGTCAAAACTGTAAAGCTGTAGTTTTTGTAGAATGTAGTTTTATTGTGAAAGCTGTGTAGTTGTAGGTTACAGAGAAACTGGTTGTGAATTTACAATAGAATTTATTGTGAAGTTGTAGTTTTTGCAGTGGAGTTATTGTGTTGATAGTTATTGAGTAGAGAAAGTGTGAAGTTGAAGTTAAAGTTCTGAAGTCAAAACTGTGAAGTTGTAGTTTTTGTAGAATGTAGGATTTTTTTTTTTTTTTTTTTTTTTTTTTNAGGGTGTAATAGTAAGTTTATAAAATTTATGAATTTTTTTGGCATTTTCAGGGATGGCATTGGCCCACCCTGGGCGAATGCTAGCTCCACCACTAAAGATTACAAATGATCAACAATATATAAAAATAAACACCACAACAAACACAAAAAACATCACAACGATCGATATACGGTATTTGACCAAATAGTCTACGTCCACGAGTGATAATATTGTTTCATTACAATAAATCCAATCCTAGAGAGTATTCTCAAGTCTCGACAATAAGCACTGTCAAGTCTCTCTACATTTTATCTATAAAAACTCTAAACTAAAACAAACAAATTTGAGCCAATAAACAACAAAAGCAAATGCTTGTAAATGAAACACGCAATTGATAACTAGAAATCATTAAGCATTAAAAGTATTTTGAACAAAGAACCGCTGAGATATTGGTGTGAGAAGTTAACCATAACCAACAACTTAAGGAATGCTCTTTTTCAACAAGAAGAAAATTTTGCTCTTCACTCATGAAATTAAACATCGTAAGGAGCTGCAATCAAGAAAAGTTAAAATTAATTATCACTGCTATAGTCAGGGTTACATTGAAAATTTAATTTATAATCTTATATATGAAGAGACATTACTTAGCACATTATTCATAGGACAACATTTATAGTAGAACTTGGAATTAATTCATAAACATGCAAAAGTATTGCTCCTGAAATGATACAAAGCTAAGTTGGTGATTCACAATTTTTAAGAAACCGATTTTTCGAGTTCATGAATTCCATCGAAATTTATCAATAAGTACCATGAGATTCAAACCTCATGCAGTTCAGAATTTAAATGCCAGGACTAAACTTGACTAGCTACATGCCATTTTAAAGATTCAATTATCAAACCTATGTAACCAGGAATTAAGATGCCATCATAGTGAATTAAGAATGTCAATAGATGATCGTCAAAGTTAAACACCATTTAATCATTAATTAAAGAAGAAACGGTGTAAAATATGACAATATTATGAGAATTTAATAGTGATTTTTTTTAATGTATGACATTCCTAGGGCTTATAGTGTTTTTAAAATCAAGGTGGACTTTGCTTCAGAAAAATTATCTATATACAATGGACGTCTTCATTTCATTTCTTTAACATACATATCTCAAATCTTAAGACAATCTTATCATACTATTTAAAGCCTTTGCAACAAGAAAATATGTTCTTCAACACACCTGAAAAATGTAATATGTAAGATCATGATCCTCGATGATATGTGGACATACATATATATATATATAGGTGAATATGAGTTTTTTCATGTAAAGTGTTCTCAACTTTTGGATTAATCCAAATTTTGAGAATCTGAAATTAAATACTTCAGAAAAAAAAAAAAAATATCTATATACAATGGTAGTCTTCATTTCTTGTAAATACATACCTTAATTTTCTCGAAGATAATCCTCTCCTATTACTCTTTTCGCAAGCATATGCACAAACCACTATCTAAAGCCACTGCAGCAAGAAATATATATTTTCTTCAACACAAACAGCTGGAAGAATAAAATATGTAAAATAATGATCGTTGACCAAAATTATTATCCAGTTTCATTTTAAAGATATCAACAACAAAAGTAAGTTTCTCAAGAAAATCATGGCGTAATAATGATACTTGAAGACCATAATTTTGGGCATTATAATCTTGAAACTTCTACTTCTAACTCCTGAAAATATGGTTCAATAAAATTTACTAGTTTATAGAATAGGTAGACATATATATTGTAACAAATATTAGATAGTTCACCACCTATATGAATTTTTGAAATCCACCCATTTTAGAAAATAGAAAGTAATATCAGTGTGAAAAATCATATGACTGTGAATTTAAATTTAGTCAAAAAGATTGGATGATGAGTTTGGAAGATCTTATTTTGTCTCCAGCAAAATTATAGCCATGTATATATAATTGAAAATTAGCTGAATGATAATGAAAGATAACAAAAGATTGAAACAATTTCTTCGGAATTAACTACAATAACATTGAAATAAAGGAATCGATATAATCACCTGTGGCTCCTTAGGCAATATCGATTTGCTTCCCTCTCTCCACATACTTAAAATTAATCATAATCTTAGGAATACGAGAGATCTTGTCCCAATTCTGTCTGTGCCAATTATCGTAACACGCTTTCAACAAAGGACACCAACTGATATTCAATTCATTCAATGTTGCAATCTGAAGAATGTGGTCTGGTAATGCCTTCAATTTGGGACAATATAGAAGTGATAAAGAACGAAGACATGGCATGATTGTAGAATCACAAAATTCTTCCCATATCGCATTAGTTGTCGCTTCCCATTCTCCCCATTCCTCCATGTTAACAAATCTTAGAGCCTTCAATTTAGGGAAAGCAATAAATAATGAATGTGGCGAATTGACGACGCTCTCTCTTCCCAAAAATTCATTATCCACTTTTTTCACGTGCATACTTGATATAGAAAGTGACTCGAGGGATGACAATTCTCCCAACGAAGGCAAATGGTCTAAGTTCATGCATTCATGGAGATTTAACATTCTTAGCTTCCTTAATGACATTACCCATGTGGGTGAGATTGTCTTGCCTTTGTAGCCTCTAATCTCTAATCTCTCTAAAGTTGAAGGTGGTTGTAAGGCTTCAAGAACATTTTCATCGTATTTGCCGTCTCTTCTTCTGTATCTTTCTCGAAATTTAGATACAAATGAAGGAGGTTTTTCTTTCCCAGGATCAACTTTTTCTATCACATATCCCAACTTTCTTATACTTAGAGACCCTTGGAGATAGACAAAATTCTCCAAGCATTTAAGGCTACATGCATTGCTAGCATTGACACCACCACTAACAACAAATTCTTTTAATGTACGAAGACAAGTTAATCTTTCCATTCCTTTGGGCATGTAATTCAATGAAGTCTCATCATTTACCACATGCCTTAGATTTGTCAACTTTTCCATCCCCTGAGGTAATTTGTTGAGATTGATGCATTGACTGATCTCCAAGGTCTGTAAATTATACAACTCGCATAAACCCTCAGGTAATTCTGATATCTTTAGCAAGGAAAAATTAAGATATCTCAAATGGATCAATTTTCCTATCTTCGTTGATGGAATGTCAACAATTGAATCCTCGTACAAAAGGTTTCCACTAATATCTAATGCTCTTAAGAGCAAAAGTTGACCAAAGACTTCCTGTGGCACTGATGAAGAGTTTGTTACCCCACCTTGAACCAAGAGACTGCGCAATTTTTTAAAGCCAAATATAGAGTTGGGAAATGAGGCTTCCTTACTAAGCATCAACGTTGATTGACGAACTTCGTCTTGATAATCGGGATTTGGGCTTGGTTGTTCGTCACCATTGACTTCCATTGCCAAACATTCATGCCTAGTGATAAATTTGAGAAAATTGTACGCTATCCCATGCATCTTAGAACTTATGATACCACCGTCATCGCCTATATCAAACTCTTGGAAAAAAGAGCGTGTTACTAAGTAGTCAAAAAATTCTTGACCCATTAGTTCCATCTCTTTATTGTTTTATGATCCAAGGTAACCTTGTGCCATCCATAATTTAATTAACTGATCTTTGTTTATTAGGTCATTTTGGGGAAAGATGGCACAATATGAGAGACACCTTTTTACCATGGAAGGTAAATTGATATAACTCAACAAGAAGAAAGGAATACCAGTCTCAAACTCTTCATCAACTTTCCACATCTCATTGTTTAATATACTTTGCCACTCCGATGTAGTTCTTTTAGAGCACAAGAAACTCCCATCACTTTTATGGCGAGAGGCAAGCCCTTGCATTTATCTACAACTTGTTTAACAAAGGGTTCTAACTCTTCGCATTGTTTCGGCAACTTATTGAAAAATGCAAACCGTCTAAACAATGATTGACATTCCTCATCAGATAATTCCTTAACAGTGAGAAGGTCAGCCGCCTTCGTTATTCGTGAAATTGACTCCTTCTGTGTAGTGATCAAAATCTTACTTTCAGAATGTCAATTCTCTAGACAATAATGAAGGGGTTTCCACCTGTTGTAGTCTTCTATTTGCACATTGTCTAAGACAAGAAGAATTCTTCTTCCAATAATTAGTTTACATAGATGTTGTAGAAGAGACCCTAAATCTACAAATGCAGGCATTGCACCTTCTAAAGCTGCAACAATCGCTTTGGCAATCTTGAGCTCATCAAAAAGATTTGATGCAGAAACCCATATTTTTTCCTCAAATGTACCTGCTACCTTATCATTTTCATAAACAACTTTAGCGAGAGATGTCTTTCCAGTTCCTCTTTCCCCTACAAGTGAGATGATATAAGGACTCAACTTGACCAATCATCTCAGACTCATCAACCAAAGATATGCATTGGAATGGCTCAGGCTTCTCAACACTCCTATTCACAGTAAAACCAAACATATTTTTCTCTGTGGCAATACTGTGTAGTCAGCTGTTTAAATCTTTTATCAAGTAAGCTACTTGGTCATTGGGTATACGTAACAACTGGGAAAAGTTTAAGGAAAAATAATTGAAAATGGACACCAACACCATTAATTACTCAAAATTAATCTCTCAACTGCATAACTACTCATAAGAAAAACCTTTTAATACTGTTAAGAATCTGACAGCAATACAACCAATTGCTTTGGTACCATGTTGGAAATCTGAATCTACTCTGATACTATGTTGAAAATCGGAGGAGTAAAACATAAAAATAAGGAACAACAATAACAACATAAAATAGGCACACGATATTTTACGTGGTTCGGCCTAACTCGCCTACATCTACGGATGAGAGGGTTTTCACTATAATAATATGAATACGATACAAGTGTTTCATCACACCATACCCCTAGTACTTTTACTTAGGCGGACATCCCATTCCTATGGTGTTTAATACCCCTTGATATTTACTCGATACACGTATTTCCTTTACATCAAAATCCCTTGTATCCTCACATTCTCTCTTTCTTTACTTTCCTCTCTCATAACCTTAAATTGGTTCTAACTCCCTTATTTATAGGTAAAATAAGACATTCTTATTCTACTAGGATTCATATTCCTATTCCTAATAGAACTCTTCTAATTTAAATCATTCTCCTATTTTAACTTAAATAAAGTCCTAAACCAATTCTTCTTTTCTAGTAAAACTCAAAGTAAAAGGAAAACAAATATTCTTCAATTACAAATTCCTAAACTAGAAATTTGCCTAAAACTTAAATTTCTTTTCTTCTTGTTTGCCTTTTCTTCTTACTTGCCTTTCCTTCTTGATTGTCTTTTCTTCATCAATTACCAAAAAGTGTTCATATTCCAACAAATACAAATTAATGTTTAAATTCCTTTTTTTCCTTGATTCTACTCATAAGAAAAGGTTTCAAGGCCATATCTTTCTCTTCACATACACTAACAAGTTAACAACATTGGCAAAGTCATTCTCTAGGACTAGCAATATCTATTAGCGTTAAGATTGGATGAAAACTTAATTATAATCTTGACCATTGTGAGAAGTGTGGGAGTGTATGGTTGTATTACTATTCTTAATATAATGAAACCATTATCATCACTATAGACGTAGGCCATTTGACGAAACCACATCGTTGTACTGATTTGTGTCTTTATTGCTCTTATATATTGACAATTGTTTCTAATCTTGGATTAGGATATAATTGCTTTAAGCTTGGGATCCTTGGTTAGCTTCCGCACGTCTGGTGTTTGATAAATTGTTTTTTACACTATCAATTGTCCTAACTGACATTTAGGTTCTTTGTCTATATAAATTTTCCTAACAACCACTTCATTTATAAAATAAGGTAACTAATTCATATATGAATTAATTTATATAATATAATAACTAATTTATATTATTTCAAATTAGTAATCTATGAAGTAGCTAATATTATAAAATTATAGATTTATGAATCAATTATTAATAATTTTTTTTTCCATTAGCAATGGGATGCACCATATCCTATTTGATTGAACTGAAGTTTTTGTATACTTCTTATTTTGTACTTTATATTTCTCATTTTATTTTTAAATTTTAAATTTTTCGCTTTTAGTATTTTATTTTTCTCGATAAAGGTTGCAACTTTCACCTAATTAATTGCATATCTATTTCAAATTTAATGAAAAATTATTAATTTCATGCATATATCTAATCTTTTAAAATTTACTTTTATGATTGCATCTATAAATTAGGAGTGGTGTTATTTAAGCCCCGCCTAATTTCTAAGCCTCAAAATCAATTAGAAAAAATAAAAATTTTAGTTCATTCCAAAATTGCCCTTTCCTTATCCTTCTTTATTTCTCTACTTTCCTATTCCTTCTTAACTTCTTTCCTACTTTTTTAACTTCTGTCTGATTTCTTCAAGACAATAATTGAATGTTGTGCTAAATCAAATTATTTATCATTAAATTATTAATGATTTAATGAAATAAGAAAACAAGTTCAAGTGGTTTACTTCAAGCCAAACGTTACAGACAAAGAGATGAAAGCAGACGTAAAAGGTTTTGAAACAGTTTATTGAAAGTTCTAAATTCTAAAATCTATAAAACTAATTTAGTAAATAAACCAGAAAAAGGAAAAAAGTATAATTAATTAAATAAATAGATTTTGGGTTAGAATTATAGTCTTTAAAATTTAAAAAACTAGAAAAACTTGGTAAAGGTTATGATATAAATAGTACTTTTTGGTCATTTGTATATATAATATATTTTTTAAATTTTTGAAAATTATAATTGGCCTTAAACAGAGTTATGGTTAGGCTTGAATAACAACTCTTAAAAAAAAAAAAAAAAAAAAAAAAAAAAAAAAAAAAAAAGGAAGAATGGATTGGATAAGTTCCCACTTTTTATTAAAATTTATAATGACAAATTTAACCCTATAAAAATTATTAAAATTAATTTTAATTTCTTATTCTTTAAAAGCACTTTTGACACCCCACTATTATTTCATAAACTCTAATTTATGAGAATGAATAATAAAGATAGGGTTTGAAATATGAGATTGTTTGTAGTCACATATAAATATATTGTTATTAATTTCTTCAAAGTATTGGTAGCTATTTTAATCTACATATTTTTATATTATTTAAATTTATTATGTTCTTGGGAATATTTGTAAGGAATTTTTAGCTCTGAATTTTTAGAATTTTCATTTTGATTATCTAGAATTTTGTTTTAGGAATAACCGCGGTAGCTAGGGGTTTATCAAAGAACCGGCTAAAACTGGAACCAACGAGTACCCAAGGTTCCTGTTCCTACTCGAAATAGGTGAGGGTAGGTTCTGGTTCTAGAAATCAGGAACCGGACAGTTCCAACCTACAGGAACCGAGAATTGGAACCAAAACCGAAATAAAAATCAATCAGGGGTAGGAATCAAGACTGAATTATAATTTTTGTAAACTGTAGGGGTGTATTGTAATTTTTAGAAGGTTTATTTGTCATTTTTTTTTTAAGTAGGGGGTGATTAAATTAAGTACTCGAAACCGAAACCAGAACCGAAACCGAAACCTATGTTTCAGGTTCCTATTTCGGTTCCAAATCCAAGGAACTGGCCGGTTTCGATTTTGATTCCAATTTCTTTGAATTTGGATAGGTATTCAAAACCACCTACCACTAGTGGTACCAAGTATATAGCACAAGTGAAGGGAATGAAATGTTAACCCTCTTTTAAAATTAAAAATTTATGAAATTTATGTGTGCCATAAGAAAAAAGATTTAGTTTTTCAAACTTTGAAACAAGGTGTTTTAAAAAATGAGGCTTTTTAGTGGAGTGGCAATAACTCCACTGAAAAATAAAAAATAAAAAAGTATTAGTGCCTAGCCCATAAAGCCTCTAGGCCCTTTTTGCTTGGGCTTAAGCTAGGTATAGTCCATTTATGTCGTATCTATTGGGTTGTTCAGGGCCTTAAATTTTAAAATCGCGTTTGGGCTGGCCTAACATAATTCACTGTTTATTATGGGCTGGTCTAGTGCAATAGGTGAAATGGGCCTAGAAGAAATAGGTTGGGCTGGCACTATACCACTCATTTGACAAGTTTATGGAAAGTTATCTAATCACTTTTTTTTTCCTTTTTTTTTTTATTTTAAAATAAATGTATGTACTCAATTAAAAGAAACATAATATTCAAAATTTATATAGTTTATAAAAAGTATTTAAAATAAAATATTAACTTAAAAACACAAAATTATAAATGCAGCAAATTAATTATCAATTATAAAATATTGAAATGATAAAACTAGCTTGAAACTGATCCTAGAACGACACTTATGATAATCTATATTGACATGATTGATGATTCATCATTTATGCAACTATATATACAACATTGATTAAGCATAAACTAACATTCAGTATTAATATACCAAACAGGCTCTTAGTCAACCTCATTGCATTTTAGCTCTTTTTCCCTAGTTCGACATAATTTAATATGTAAAGAAGACAAATATATAAAATAAACTTTCCCCTTTGAACTCTTGGAAGGCCTATGATAAAATCCATTGATATGCTT